AGAATAAGCTGCAGCTATATTTTCCTGGTAGCCTGATTTATAAGGTTTCACTATGCTGTTTGTTTTCTGTTTTCCACTGGCCTGGTAAAGTTTGCCAGGCTAAGCGAGGTGGGAAGAAGGGACTCATTATTTTGTTCTTGAGCCTGGTGTTACTCTCCCATAGCTTTCTCTGTACACTCCTATGGAAACGTTGAATTTTGCACGCGAGGAATTGCTTTAGCAACTTATTTGTACCACTGTGTGGCTGTTCCTCTGTTTGCAGTGGGAGACAGCATGCTACTCCACCGGACTAAGCGTGGAGACATGAATTAACGTCCTCGCTCAGCAGCATGAGCACATTCCGGTATTACAAGCAACCACCCAGCCCGAGGGAGTGAATTTATCCCTAACTCAGGCTAGGACTCGGGCAGTCTCAGTGCCCCGTCAAAAGTAACTCAGTTCAGTCATCGCTACAAAAAATAAGAGGTTTAAATTGAGAGCTATTTTAATTTCCAGAATATTGCCAACTATCGCGTTTCTTCTTTCTCCCTCCCTCCTCCCCGGGTTTTGCTGAATTTTCTCCAGGCTCTAGAGGAAGGAGTGTAACCACGCGTAACAATATAAAAAAAAAAAAAAAAAGAAATGACAGTTATAACCAGAAGACGGCAATCCAAACCCGAAAAAAGAGCAACTCTGGCCAACACGGGGGACGGAAAGTCGTGTTCCTAATCAGCCCGTAGAAACCACGGCACAGCGAGAACGCAAGCGTGTCCTTAGCGCCCGGCCGCAAGCCAGCCTCAGTGGCAGGAGCCCAAGCTAACTTTGGGGGGTGCAAGCCGGATTCTCCTTCAGTTCTGCCGGGCTTTCAGCATGTTCATACCGCTGCGGTTACATTGCATAAAACACAACGCAAGAACACGCCATCAGGCAGCGAACGCTCGCTCGCGCGGAGGTTTTACTGCAAGGAATGTCAAACCGCGCCGTGCCCTCGGTCCCGTCCCAGAAATCGTTAAAAACGAGAAAACGAGAGGCGAGTTTGCCCGGCAGTTACGAGCGGGATTTATCACGCCCTCCCGAAGCACCTGCGGGGAGGTTTCCGTGAATCGAGGCCACGGGGGCGGCCGGGTGCTGCCCGCCGAGATCGCGCCCGGGGCGGTGGGAGCAGCGGGGCGGCGTGGGCGCGGGTGCTCCCGCGTGGGGCGCTCCCCGCGTGGGGCTGGGGCGCGGGGGAGCAGGGAAGGCCAAGACGCGCCCCCCCCCCCGCGGGCCCGGCGGGAGGGCTCGGTGCCGTCGGGGCTTTGCCTGCGGGGGGCTGGCGGCGACCCACACCGCCCACGCACACCCCGCCCTTACACCTTTCCCCCCAACCCACGCCCACGGCAAACACCTTCCCGCAGCGTGCCCTTCACCCGCCCCGGCCCCCTCCCCGCCGCCTCCCCCGCTCGGCCGGCGGCAGCGGCGCAGGAGCCCGCGGGCGGCCGCGCAAGGATGCGCGCTCGGGCGCCGCCGCCTCCCCGCCCCGCCGCCGCCGCCGCCGCCATGGCGGTGCGGAGCCGCGGCGCTTGGCGGCGGCTGATGCTGCTGCTGCTGCTCCTGGCGGCTCCGCCGCCAGCCGGCGGAGAGAGGAGGAAGGCGGCGGGGGCGGGGCTGGGCGGCGCGGCGGGGGCGGGGGGCCGGCGGGAGAGCACGGCGAGGAGGCGGCCGGCCCCACCACCACGACTCCTCGTACGGCACCTTCGCCAGCGAGTTCTACGACCTGCGCTACCTCTCCGAGGAGGGTGCGGCGGCCGGGGGCAGGCGGCGGGGACAGGCGGGGCGCGGCGAGACGGCCGCGGGGGAGGGAGGGCCGGGCCGGGCCGGGCCGGGCCGGGCCGGGCGGTTGGTGGCGGCCCGCAGGCGGCGGCGGCGGCGGCGTTGTTCAGCACGAAGGCCAGCGCCCGCCGCCATCTTCCGCCCGCCCTGCCGCTCGGGGGCCGGGGCCGGGAGGGACAGGGACAGGGACAGGGACAGGGCAGGGGCAGGGACAGGGACAGGGCAGGGACAGGGACAGGGCAGGGGGGGTCCCCCGGCTGCCCTACCCGCCGGCCGGGCCCCCCGCAGGGCCAGCGCCTCGCTCGGGCCCGGGCATTTCCCCAGGCCGGGGGCCGCGGGAGGGGCCCGGGGGGGGGGGGGGGTCCCCTCTGAGCCGGGGCGGCCGGCGGTGGCTCGCCTGCCGAGGTGCGAACTGCCCTCGCGAAAAAGCTTTCCGGACCGCTTGACTTAAAAGGAGTTCGGTTTTTGTGGCTTTCGAAATGCCGTGTGGTGTCCGAAGTGGTAAGAAGCGCTGTAGTCCTGGATTTTGGTGGGGTTTTTTTTTTTTTTTTTTTTTTTTTTTTTTTTGCATTTACAAATGCGGGAATGTTAAAAACGCCGGTTTTTGTGGCTAAACTGCATTGAAAACCGGTTGTTTGATGCATTTGGACAAAAAGGAAGAAGCGAGAATAGAGGGTGACCAGGCTTTCAGTGATGCTCTGCTACAGGCTGATCTGACATTTTGCCGACTTAACACGTTTACGCTGGGTAATTTACCCAGGCCCTTGGTACAGTTAATGGAGGCTGTAACTTGCAGTTTACAGCATGCTTTCTCTCATTGGCATCGTCAGAAATCTAGGAAGGTGAATCAGGGCTCCCAAATGCCTAAGGTTGGGTAGGTTAAACTTTTGTGTGCAGATGCTGTAACTAACTGCAATGTTTATTTCCTATTCAATGAAGTGCTTTTAGAGGACTTTCTAGTTTCACAGCTAGCGTTTTGGTTGTCAGTTGGCTAAGTAGAAGAACATCTTATTAAAATACCTGTGTTCATGCAACAGGCAAAGACGTCTACGAGCCAAGACAAAAAGGTCTGTTTGCAAATGTTCACATTTTCTCTTTGGTGTACTATCGTACAGCAGACAGGATTGCTTGGGATCATAACTGTCATTGTCCGGCTCTTCTGGGTCTTTCCTCACAAGTGACTGTAAATCATAACTGCAGGCAATTATTCCCTGTTTTGATACCCTCTGACCTTTTATTGCAATGCATGTTTTATTTTACTTCTTAATGGAGAACATATTACAAGGTCCTTTCGGTATCCATTCCTGCAGCTCTGAATCTGGTGCCCTGCATTTGTACTTGATTCTGTCATTTATGGCTCAGGAGTCAGATTTAGCTCCCTTACGGATTTCCCGAGGGGACTAAGAGTGCACAAAGTCACAGCTGAGTGGAGATCCCTAATTGTTTGTTGACTGTACTACTCCGTGTTCCTGATGCCTTAAGTTAACTTTTGCCCTTGGTGTAGCAAAGCTGTGCTACAGCATCCTTCTCCCTTCTTGACAAATGTAGGAAACCTGAGAAAATGTTTGTTTTCAGTTATCAGTGTTACTTTCGTACCTGGAATCCAACTGAGCAAGGCGTTGTGTATGTGACAAAGTAGTCCCTCATCTGAACAGCTCGGTTATCAGCAGACAAAGTAGATGCTATTGGAACCCTTTCTTTAGTATTAATGCTTTTTATTTCTTGCATTTTATTTGGTAATATTTCATTCTGATTCTACAGGTTACCCTTTCCCTACTGCTCCTCCTGTGGATCCATTTGCAAAAATCAGAGTGGATGACTGTGGAAAAACCAAGGGATGCTTCAGGTCAGTCTGAGATAAGAGTGCAGATACCTTTGTGTTTGCAAATGCTGTCTGATTGCATTGGAGGCTTTGGTAAATGTTCCATATTCATTTGAATAAATATTCATTATTTAACAACATACTTTATAGTTACGAACTATATTATTTGAGGAAACTAGATTATTTAAGGATATACGTCATAGTTATGGACCTACAGTTATTTCATGCTTCATGTATTTTCATGAAGCACTTCCAAAACCAGGGCTAGGAAAGTCAACAGAGTAATACTGTGTGTAACTAATTGCTTGCTGTACTGTTTAAATATACATTCTTACACTAAAAGGGTCATAATTGCAAACACTTAACTAATGGTACTTTGTGTATAGCATAATATACTATGTTTTACTGCCATTATACCAAAATGCATTCTTTTAGTTTTTTCTTGCAGAAATGTAATTAAGTTCCTTAGCAAGAAATTGCAAGGAAAAGTTACGTGTCTTTCCAATTCCATATAGGTACGGTAAACCTGGGTGCAATGCAGAGACTTGTGACTACTTTCTAAGTTACCGTAGAATAGGAGCCGATGTTGAATTTGAGTTGAGTGCCGATACTGATGGCTGGGTGGCGGTGGGATTTTCCTCAGACAAGAAAATGGTAAGACACGCACGGTGCTTCATGTCGACCGCGGGCACACTTTTACATGCTAGGATATAAATGGTTTATATTTGATCGGTCAGAAACAGCATATAAGGAAAAACTGACTTGTTGAAAACAAAGCACCGCTCGGTAGCCGCCCTGGGAGCTGAAGCCAGGCCTACTGCCTCCCAGAAACCTGCCTCATCCTTCCTGACACGTCCTTTCCCTTCCCTGAGAATTGCAACAGTATTTCAGTTCAGCTCCCAGTGTCTGAATGTTACTAGCTTTTTGCCCTTTTGTTAGAAAAGCCCTCGGGATAAGCCAATTCAGGTGGAAATGTCCTGTTGTGCTTTATGTCAGCGTTACTTAG